CTGGAGCTTGTCGTGCTCCCGGGACATCTCCTTCTTCAGTCTGTGTTCGGTATACACCAGATAGGAAAAACCTGCCTGAGGATTATGTAAAGACCTGAAGTACATCACAGATTCCCCTTCCCCCTTCTGTCCCCATCAGAGTCGCTTCTGAAGTCACCTCGTTACAGTGTGAATCTCTTGAATATATGTTTTTCGATGAGTGTTAGGTACTCACCCCTTGTCCTTTTGGTAGAGCCGGCTTCAGGCAGTTTGGCAAGGAGGAAACGTAGATCCTGCTTCACAACGCGTTGCCTACAGCTCCCCTTGGGGTATCCTCAAGAACAAAAAAAATCCTGCTGGAGTTTGAGAGTTTTAGATACCAAAAGCTCAAAAATCCAGGAGACCTCGGGGAAGGAGCGCTTGCTTCCCTTCCCTGGAATGTCAGAATCACACAATCCTAAGCGAGTATCGCACAGAGAAAACCATCTCAGAATATTGGTTAGGTCGGATGGGGAAAAGAAATGCCAAGGTATTTTATTTTTCACTTTGAACCTCCCGCGCCCTTTGCAGGGATCCTCACTTTGCTGTGGCATACCCTGAAGAGTCACGAGGCAAAAATGAAGTATCCAGGGGGTTTAGTGTAGCAGCCTGTGTCCTAACAGGAAGGGGGCCTGGTGAGGAGGCACCTCGGGATCACCCTGGCATGGGTTTTGAAATGTTTGTCAAACCATGGGGGAGGGAGGAGCAGGGAAAAAGCTGGGCTCTCCAGGCGGGTTGTACCTAGGAATGTTTGTTCCTAAACCAGTGCAGCCAATATCTGGAATGGAACTGTAGGCATCGCTGCTCTGTGGACAGCAGAGGCAGCCAGAGCCGGAAGGGGAGAAGGCTCCGGTTCTCCGCAGAGCAGGCAGTGAGAGGTTTGGCTTTGGGGGACGTGGTGTGGCTCTGCCCGGTGGGGGGTGGGGGTGTTGTGGTGTAAGTAGGCAGCGGAAAATAGGTCTGAGATTCTGCAGTTCCTAACGACAGGTACCAAGAGGTTATGATACGGGTTGGGGGGTCTGTGATGTACAGTGGGAATAAATGCTTGTGGCTCTTAGGCTTTTTTTGATCAATGAAGCACTTTTTTAATTAATATTATTTTTCTTTGTATGTAAAGGAGGAACCAGTATCTCTCCGTAGCTGTACATATACCCCTTCTCTCCTCAAGAGAGTAAAGTGCTCCTCTATTTTTCATTTTTGTCAAAGTGAGAAGTAAATACTTTAGAACTGTTAAATATATAAATAAAAGTGAATAAAGTTTAGCCTTTTGCATGGGAGCATTTGCTAACACACTTTCTAATTTTTTTTTATTTTTCTCCCTTGCCTTCCGTGGGGGATACATTTGAAGTTCAGCAGAAACACCAAGGCCTTTGAGAACGGAGGCGGCAGCAGGGCCTCCTCTCGCTTTCTGTTCCACTCTGTGTCCTTGCAAGGAACAACAAACTGTTGCTCCTAAACTTAGGAGAAAAAAAAAAACATTAAGCTTGGTTTTCCTGGCACAAGAGTCCCAGGGAGGGGGGGAAAGACACAAACTGCCTGCACCCCCAGGTCCCCTCAGCACAATCCGCAGGGGTTTCCCAAGGCTGGAGAACTCCCGAGAGCCTCATCTTCCTCGGTACCTTGTTTTGCTCTCTTCCCCTAATCAGCCACCGTATTTGAGATGTTTAGCCCAAGCATAGGAGCGGCCTGGGCCCCCAAGGGATTCACCTGGCTTTCGGTGACACCTGGAAAGGGAAGCTCGATGTCTCCCTTCCCCTGCTGTGAGCCGGCACCGGCACTCGCCGCAGTGGGGAGAGCGGCGCTGGGTTCTCACTCACACACTTTCTGCCTTACTCTCAATGCTGGATGGTGGAGCCGCGGCTCTTCGGGAACAAACCAAACTCACTCAGGTTTAATCTCTTTTGATCTTTTCCTAGAAGGTGGAAAACTCCATTGCTGTTTGTCCCGCCAAAGCCTCCTGTGCGAGGCTCTGACTCTTCTCGTGCTCCTGGGGCCGCTTGCTTGTTTTGGCCGCTGGGCTGCATGCGCTCCCCTCGCATCATCTCCTGCTCCCTTATTTCTTTTCTTGCGTATTTGAAGTTGAAAGAGAGAGCAAGGATTTGCCCTGAATTCTACGGGGGGCCAAAGAGCTCCTTGAGCAATGGGGAGTTATTTTGGGAGAGGCCTGTTCTAATCGCAAGCCGTTGCACACAGTTGCTTTATAATCTCATGGTATTTATTGAATCAAATAAAACGGATTCTGGGCAGAGCCGTGCTTGCGGCTGGCGGTAGCATTTGCAGCTTCAAGAATAAAAAAGAAAAGCACAGATCGTGTTTTGCACTACCAAGAACAGGCGAAGGAACAGCTTTTCAGTTCTGCACCAGAACTGGATTTTTCTGGAGCACCTTTCGTACTTGAGTTACTTCCAAGTGCGTTTTCAGTAACTCATTACCCTGTAGCGTGGCGGCTGTCGATGTTACGTGGACACCCAGTACTCCCAGCCCCGGACACCGCACCGCTTGGATGTTCCCTGCTTCGGAAATGCTGAGTGAACCCCCGCGGGTCTCCTCTGCTGCTGTTGGATGGTGTCAGAGAGCTTTTTAACTTCCAGGTAGCGTAAAGCCGTTACCGTGCAGAAGGGCTTCATGTCGGGGGCATCGAGGGCCTGGCAGCTCTGCAAGGGGAGCACGCGGCTGCCACGGTGTAGAAGCTCATTTCCCAGTGACCGATTCTTCCTAACGAGTGTCCTTTCCCCTTGTCTTTTGCTGCAGCTCTCCACCAGCGCAAGTGCCTGAAGGGAGAGCAGCGCTGCCGTCGCCACGCGCAGCTTCAGTGCTGCCCGACTGTGCTGTAAAACAAATCTCCTTAGGCAAAGGCGATTTGCCTGGCTTATCAGGAGTCTTGCAAATAGCGTTAGCGGCTGAGGAACGCAACAGTTGTTGAGAACCAGAGGCCCCTCAGGTCCCCAGGTAGGGAACAGTGAGCCCAGCCTCTCCTCGCCAGCCAAGGTGGCACAGGAGTCGTTTGGCAGCAGCAATCTCATGGGTTGGGCGGTCAATTGTACGGGTGAGGTACTGTGCCGGCAGCGTGCAGGACGGAAAGCCAGAGGCTCTTTGGTGGTGCTGGGAACCGCTCCGCTCCCCAGGAAGGGCTGGCGGTGTGGAATTGAGCCCTTGCTGGGAGAGGTTTTGAGCTGTTGTGTTGCTGCGAAGGGCAATGGCCACATGCAGGAAAGCTGAGTGGATTCAGAGCCCCTTTAACAGACGGGGGCTGCAGGTATTTTACAGTCAGTCTGTAATTGCCCCTCTTGTAGATCCTGAATTACTTGGCATGAAGCTTTGAGAAAACCATGTCCAGGGCCGGTCAGAAGATGATGTTTACTGGGCTGTGCTGGAAGGAGAATCTCAGGAGGTGCTCGGGCAGTGCTGAGTGAGGGCTGGCTCTCTGGCATTTGCTGGGGTGCAGGAGCCGGGTTGGGTTTTACATAGTCCTTAGAGCTGCCCTCACTCTCTCGCACTGCTTGGAACCAGCTCCTGAGTTCCACGGCATTACCTGCCTCGGTTAAGAATCAAAAGCAGCAATTTGGGCTCTTTCTGAGTGGTGAGGCAGGCGAGCGATGCGGCCTCTGCAGCGGCGCGGGCTGCGCTGCGCCTGCTCCCGGCGCTTTTCCCTCTGCAGGAGAGGGCAGCGATTCCTGAGGCAGCTCGGCACCCTCCCGGGCAGGCCCAGCACCAGCCCAGACAGGGGGAGGTTTCATTTTAAAGAATTCAGCTCGGGGGTTTTTGTTAAAAGAGGGAATCCACCAGCCTAAGAGCAAGGGTGCCGGAAGAGAAACAGAACCTTCCAGTAGAGCCATGTCTGTGCAAGCGCTTGTCTGTCTGTCCGTCCCTGCGCCATGCGGCTATGCTGCTTCCCGGGCAGAGGAATGACAAATTCCCTTCCCTTCGTTTCACACGCGCACCCCACAGGCGTTGGAGCTGGGATTTCGGGATTTGAGATTACCGTGTTCTTTGGACTTTCAAAGTTTTTAAATGCTGCTAAAGTTTTACCTTACTATTTAACAGACACGTTTTTTAAACCCATTTCCCACAGTTGTGTTATTAAATGATTTTTACCTTGCAGTGGCAACAGGTGATGCGTTTGATTGTACATTACTATTTTTTTTTTGGTGAAATTTGTATTGAAATGACATCCGAAGTCTTGATTAATTACTTCAAGAACATTAAATGTTTTAAACCACGCAAACCTACAAGAGCAGAGAGCTGTGTAGCAGCGGTATAAAGTGTTAGACCCTAGTGCTTATTTGTTTGTAACAGCATTTATTCTGCTGTAGCCTCAGAGTGAATATTTAGATCTTAATAAATTTGTCATTTTCCTACATGGTGAGAATTTTACAGTCCCTTGTGTTTTCTGTATCGGTGCCTCTGGAGGGCTCACAGTTTGTGGGGCTTATTTTTAGGCAAATCATAGCTCGTATATTAGGAAAAAGTAATCCTGGTGTTCCAAAACCACGTGAAAGAAGAGGCAATGCAAAATCCCTGATGGGCAGTGAGTGTGAAGGGCACCGCTGCTTGCTGAAGAGAGAGTCCAGAGGAGGGCTACGAAGATGATGAGGGGACTGGAGCATCTCCCCTACGAGGAAAGGCTGAGGGAGCTGGGCTTGTTCAGCCTGGAGAAGAGAAGGCTGAGAGGGGATCTCATCAACACGTACAAATATCTCAAAGGTGGGTGTCACAAGGACGGAGCCAGACTCTTCTCAGTGGTGCCCAGCGCCAGGACAAGGGGCAATGGGCACAAACGGAAGCAGAAGAGGTTCCAGTTGAATATGAGGAAGAACTTCTTGACTTTGAGGGTGACCGAGCCCTGGCCCAGGCTGCCCAGGTGGGCTGTGGAGTCTCCTTCTCTGGAGATATTCAAAGCCCACCTGGATGCTGTCCTGTGCATCCTGCTCTGGGTGAGCCTGCTTGAGCAGGGGGGTTGGACTGGGTGAGCTCCGGAGGGCCCTTCCAGCCCCTGCCAGTCTGGGATTCGGTGAAGCCCTGAGCGCTTGGTGTGAAGGGAGGATCCCAATGGTTTGTCAGCAGCTCTGCAAATGACTGCAACGTGACAGCTTCCACTTTGCGTTGCCGTCGTCGTGTGCCGTCTGACCCTCCCACCCTTCCCAGGTGCAGAGCTGGCGAGTGCCTTTGGTGCTGCCAATATTTGAGTTAGAGCCGCGTGGTGCCCTCTCGCTTTCCCATTCTTATTTCAACACCACACGACGGGTTTCTGTGCTTTGACACCTCTAAGGCCTTTGACATCAAACACCTACGGGCACGTAGGAGGCTCTTCAAACCCAGATGTTATTTATTCACTTAAACACACCTAAAACAGATGCAGAGAAGCACTGCAGTAGAAAACCCTTTGCTGCTGGGCCTGGCTAAACAGTCTCTGTGAGATTTGAGGGGCTTAGCTCTGTAATCCCCGCACTGGGACAGTGCAAGCCCACAGAGCTCTCCTGGCTGCTCCCCAGCACCGCTCGGCTCCTCCCCGGACCTGCGGGCTTCGGTCTCATGAAGTGCCGGACAACTTCGTGCTCAGCGAACGGCTCCTTTCCTCACTTCCCGCTCAGCAGCCTGGCTGCTGCAGCGCTTCATGGCTGTATGTTCCAACTGGCTTCGCTCCATTATCCTTCTTCTTCTGTTATTAGTGACTTCGTAATTAAGAAAACTTTTCATCATCGGGTAGTACCAAGCAGGTAGACCGGTGGGTGGAGAAGCACGCAGTCAATGTTGAGGTGTTTGCTTTGGTGGAGGATTACTGGATTTCCATCTAAAACTTAGGTCAGAGTTTCTGTCAGTATGAGCTGTGGCATCGTTAGGGCACATGCATAGGGAATGAATAAAAAAGCTTTATTTTCTTAAAAAAATAAGGAAAATGACGTTTTTTTCTTTAATTTTGGTACCAACTTGTACAGTTTTGATGTAATTGAGTGGTGGCTTTGCGCAGCAGCGTTGATGCTGACGCTGCCCACTCATGGAGCTGCAAGCGGTGATTTACTGTGTCCCATCTTTGAAACGCAGGAGGCTGAGGTTTTTCTTGCCCCTCTTGGCTGACAGGAGCCGCATTAGCAGCTGGAGCAGGGCCAAGGCACCCAGCAATATTCATTGAAGGCAAAGCCTCTGCTCCGGGTTCATTTAAAGTAAAAGCAAAGTTTGTTTGAGACAAGGTATAACGTAGAAGGAAGAGTCAAAAAGCAGGAGCTAGCCGAAGCGGTGCCCCATGACTCTCTCACCAGGGCAGAAGACCGTGTGCAGCATTGGAAAGCAAGGATGTGAACAGGGAAAAATTGTGATTTTCTGTATTTTAATCAGCTTCAAATAATTTTCCATTTGATTTTGGTTGCTTTTCTTTCAAAAGAACCCCCAGTGGCACCTGAAGGGCTGCTGCTTCAAGTCGTTACCTGGGTTTGATCACTTGGTCTTTGCCTAAAACATGGTAAGAACGTATCGGCACCTCGGACGGAAGCGCCATGGCTGCCTCTGCGTTACCATGTCACTCAGCGCAGAAGCAGCAGGTTTCGGGCTGGAGCCAGTGGCGGAGCCAGGGTTTATGCCAGGGGGATTTGCTCTGGCACCCACCACGCCTGCAATTTGCAACCAACTGAGGATTTTGGGATTTTTTGGGGGGGATTGCAACCCACTTTTGGTTTCCCCTGGGGGCTGGGTTTCCCAGTTGCCCCCGGTGAGTCACAGCCGGCTGCCCCGGGCAGGGGT